GATGTGTATAAGAGACAGCGCCAAGTTTTTGCTTCATTGTGATTCCATTGGTCATTTTAATCACTTTAAGCCTGTTTTATGAAACTTAAAAATTTTTGAAAAGACAATGGCATTAAACTTTAAAAATAAATAAATCAATCAATCTTATGTTCTTGTTCATGTTTGTTACAAAATACAATTAAACTTGTCCTTAAATAAGGAAATTGGTTTCATAGATATATGTATATTAATCTTGAACATAGGCCGAATTGTTAAGGTATCTAATAACTACCGTAAGCTGTTTAGAGTTATCAAGTAATATTAAATGTAGTAGAAAGTTTTTAGTTTTTTGCAAAATTCAATCTTTATCTAAAGAATAAAAAAAAAGAGTAAAAAAAAGCTTAATAATTAAAATATTTGTCATTATTATCGATGATTTTCAGCCATTTCTCGGATAGCTTACGAATTCCTATAGGCGATAAAAGCTTAGCGATTTTGAAACAATAAAGTCATTGATGCTTTTTCGGACTTCGTCTGCTCTGAAATGTATATTAGCCAAATAATGTTGCATCGCACGGAATAGGTGGTAATCGGAAGGGGACTATAGGGTGAAAGATCATATTACTAGCATATTAAGCATTTAGTCCCATTTAATTTAATAAATTTTTACTTTTAATAAAATACTCCCATCGATGCAAAATTTAAAGCTAAGAACTTTCTACTACACCTAATACTATTTCGAAGCAAATGTTTTTTTTCACTATTTTATAGAAAATGAATATTATCCATATTTATACATTGTGATGGAAATAAATGTGTCGCAAATGCTATTATTTACTTACGTAGTTCCTCTGCGGCATATGTCGTTAGAAGCACAAAAGCAAAGAGTGCAGCAAACATTTTTCAAACGAATATTTTCTGCTGTTAGTACACGAAACCTGCACTCCTGAACGATCTTAACAAATGTGCAAAAATAAATTAAATGATAAATATATATTGCACATCTCTTTTTTGAACATACTCTCAATACTCACTCTAATTCATAGCACATGCGTAGAATGAATGAATGAAATATCATTCAACTAAAGTGATGAGTAATGTAATCTGATCCTTCTCTGCGCATGATCATTTGATCAAGTAATTTGAGGTGGGAGAAGAGGAAAGCAATTATAATTTTTAACTCTAGGAAAAGATGGGGAAACTAAGTAGAGGAGTTCAGAATCTTGATTTGTCCGTTATATAGCTTATATCTTTATGTATATTTATTCTTTTCTATATCTGGATTGATGTAATTAGTTTTTTCTTTTTCTGTAATTATACTATTTATTTATTTTACGTTCTTGTAACATCTATTTTAATGTTAAAAGTATAACAAATCTAACTGTAAGAATTAAAAAAATTAACAATATAGGTATAAACTATTATTTCTTTTTAAAAAATCCTGATTAAATTGCAAGTTTTAAATTAAATATTATTTTAATTTAATGTTATTTACAGATAATAAAAAAATTTTAATATTTATATATATTTTTTAATTTAAATGTCTCACAATCACATTGTAGAAATTTTTTCTCCTTTTTTAAAAATTGGAAATCATATTTACAATAAAACAAAACTTACATAAGAGAAATATAATTACGATCTTAATATTCTCTGTATTTTTTATGTATAATCGCGCCGTGATCAATAGTCTGTCTCTTTGTGTGTTGTAAATATCAAATAATAAAAACGATACCATTATTGTCAGACCAACTCTTGAGCATGATATAAGCACAATTTGTTGTAATAAATGACCCATTCTTTCTTTTATTAAAATTTTCAAATCATACAATAAAGAAATACTTATACAAATAAGAGGAGTTGAGCGTGTTGTTCATTAAAATTTAATTAACTTAATAAATTTAATATAGATTTTCCAGACATGAGTATACGAATATAGTTTATCTTCAAGTGATATTAAATAAGCGAAAAAAGGAAGTCAAATGGAAGTACAATTTAAATCAACGTTATTTTATAAGCATAATTATATCATTCCTATTGCACTAGGTGATCTTGCCACTTGAGTATCGATGTCGAATTGTGTTGAATAATTTATATATAAATTGTAGCATTAAATACACGTAATAAAATAAATATACATTTGTGTTACGATTTTTTGCTTAGAAAAGTTATGGAGAACGGGATTTTTAAACCCATTCCAATAGATGGCTAAAGGAAATGTATATAATATACAGGATGTCCCAGAAAAGTCATATGTCCTTTCACTGGCAGATTCTGGGGAACATTCTAAAAAGGAAACTCTTATACGAATATGTCGAGGCTATAATACTTTTCAAATTAAGTATAAACGATTTAAGTTAATCAATACTAGTCAATGAAATTTTCTCGCTTAGCCACGGTACATCCGATAGATCCTTTTTTAAAATAACAATACTGACATAAAATTAACTTCGTAACTAATTAACCTAATGACTAATTAGTTACTGATTAACTGTATTATTCTTAATTACTAATTAGCTTAATTCAATTTTTTGCTCAGAAAGGTAAGAAGTTAGTGAAAACAGGATTTTTGAACCTAATAGATAGCTAAAAGAAATGTATATAATTATATAATAAATTAACAGAAGAAGAAAAAAAAGAAAATGCCGGATGAAAAATGAGCATTTAATAATACTGCACTAAGTTATACTAAAATAAAAAATAAAAAATAAATAACTAAAAAATTAATAAAAATGTGAAAACGTATAAATATATTATAGAAACATATATACATACACCCATGTTTTTTAAAATATTATAAACATCTATAATCGCATTTGTATATTATTATTATTGTTATTATTAATATTTTGTTTAAATGAAAAATTTGTAGTCATTGTTCCGTCGAAGACGAGGGTGGCTCCGACACATTAATCGTACCTGTGACTGAATTATTATTAATAACAGTATTAATGAATAATTATTATTTGCATTAATACATTAGGATGCATAAATATTATTAATCTAATAACTTATTTAATAAAGTTATTATATCTTACATATCACAACAATCAAGAGTCTCGACGAGACTCTCGATGTCATTGAGACTCTCGGCAAAAAAATCTCGTCTCGATCTCGTCGCCGAGACCGAGACCAGTCTGAGTATCGTCCGAAACACTACTTGACTTCCAGATTTAAGTGTCAAGAAGCTGCGTCAAGCTGCACAATAACCTTCTGCGCATTTTGACGCTCGACATTCCCAAGTAATAGCACGTATCTTAAGGTCCGTATTCAGAAAGCACTTTTATTAACAAATGTGCACTTTTATTTCTAAAATTCTATAGTATAAATAACATAAACTATAACGTATCGCGTTCTGAATACGGACCTTAGGGAATTATACGTGATACTGTATTCATATTCAGTTTGTTGTAGAATTGCAAATGCTTAAAACGGAGGAACAGTTTTCCGAAGTTAATATAATACTTGATTATAAAGAAATGCAAGGTGATGCGATTTGTCTGTAATCGTTTTCTATAATGTGCATTGAAAATTGGACAGATCGAAAAAAATAAAGATTCTGAAAAAACTATGCTTACCATATTATCATTATTGCTCGTGGCCGCCGTCGTATCGAAGAGGCAGAGCAGCAGAAGAAATAATTGTGACCAGCTGCTTCATTGGAGGACGAAGTGAAAAGGCAAATTTTTCGAGCTCATTTGCAAAATATGTCTTTTGTGAAAAATAAAATTGAGAATGGAAAATACATAGTCTAGTTCATTGAATGTTCATAGACTCGTCGTCACTCGTCGTCTACCTTTTATTAACCAGTAGCGAAAAACAGAAGAGATATATCGTTGCATTCTTTGTCATGCGCTATTTGCACACGTGGCAAATAACACATTAGTCGTGTGGCAATTTGCGTATGGAAATTGTTGCTTAATTGTTGCAAATGCGATAGAGAATATAGGGTAACCCCGATATATGAGCCGCACCTATTAAAAACTTAATTTATCAGGTATTAAATTGTTATATAATTTAATTCAATAAAATAATCAAAAGTAGACGATGTGCATAAAAATCCTTTTTGACTTTTTCGCATTCCTTATCATATACAATTTTCATATATCTATCAATTACTTCTAACAAATCTTTTAAATTGCAGTGCTTTATTATTTTTCAGAAATAACAGTGCAAAGATTTTAACAATAAAGATATGTGCTATATATAATCATACTAATTATGTGACTCAATCAAATTATACTTTTTATTAGATTGACAATTAGAGAACTCTCTTTCTATCACCATGATATTAAAGTGTCGAATTGCTGCATCTTATTTTTTACAGCTATCGTTTTTCTTCGTACAGTATGGATATTCTGATGAAACGGATGCACAGTAGTTTCCCTCTAGAGTATCGCTAGGATCAAATAGTTTGTCGTCCATAACAACGCAGTTGGTTTTATCGGAAGAACAACCGGGCACAGGGCTGTCAAAATACCCAAATCATGATATAATATAAAACAATACGAGTTGCACAATAAACGCGCGATCAAAGAGGTTACAAACAAATAATTCTAAGCGAAAAAAAAAATAGTTTTTAATTTATACATACTTGGGAATCGGGCTTTTTCTAGACCTAAAAAAAAGAATAAACATAATGTATAATTGATTATAATAATGTAGCTTTCATTTTATTAATAAATTAATTTTTTTATATAATAGGATTTTTAACTTTAAAAAATATCACAACAGTTGGATTTAATCAATTAAGTTTAAACATGTTGTTATAGGTAACTATAGGCGAACTTACGATATAGGAATGCCAATAAATACGCAGTCATCTTTCAATGTAATAGCCAAATACTCAATGGCTATATTATGCGAGCAGTTGACCTTTAGACTACCAATTATCAAACCTGAAACAATAATTTTTATTTTATTCATAATTCCTTTCTGATTAGCTATTCTTTTCGCGATGTTCTCCCTGAATAATTTATTTTTAAGTTAAATATCATAGTTACCGCCACATTTTGGTTGGCTTAATCCGTTATTAAACCACAAATCGAGATGACCTAGAGATATTTGTAATCCGAGAGCCGACGTGTGAAGAGCTACTACACGTTCGGCATCCGTTTTGCAAAATCTGTCCTTGCAATACCAAATTCTCCAAATGAAAAGGGGAGCCGCGGGATCGGTGCCTATGAGAAGCGGAATCTTGCCGTAACCCGATTTCTGGAGGTGTTTCGCGGCGAAACCACTTATATGCGCGCCAAGACTATGGCCCATGAGTGTGATGTTCTTCAACGGAACATGGCATGTGTCGATTATCGATTCGAGGTATCTGCAAGAAAAATTTTGTACAAGTATGTATGCGTAGAACAAAGTTATCGTATCTTGTTTAACGTTTGCTCTGGATTGTCATCCCACATAATTAATGCAATATATATATAATGCAACATAAATAATGTATAAAGCTAAATATCAATAGACGCTACATATATTTATATTGCATTATACATATATTAATCATTGTATATTACTTAATTATATGTTACAGTGCTATTACAGCATTCTTGAAAATAATTACTTTAAATGAAATTTATTTACAATTTAAACTACTCGAATATATAAATTTATACTTATTATATTTATACATATTTTTTTTATTTAATTACATAACATCGTAAAATAGCCATACTTTGCCAGGTATTCACCAACTTTGCGAGTGTTGTGCACTGCAGAAGGATACAATAGCAGCTTTACGACGGCTGGATCGTTATAGCAGGATGCGTTAGACCAATCTAGTGCAAATACTGTATAATCTTTCTAGAGAATATATTAAGTTGTTTTATTTAATTTTTTCTTTCATTCTTGTGAGATTTACAATATTTTTATATTATTTGTGTGATATGAGTTTGTGACTGAGCTTTTGTATAATACAACTGTGTTCTAATTAAAAGGCTTGCTGCAACAGGGGCCAACCCACATACTGTAACAACAGAGAAAGTATAAACTTTAAAGTTAAAATGATGAACTTCAAAATTTATTGTCTAAATTTTTATAAAGTGTGGATTAGACCATTGTTGCAGTAAGTTATTCATTCTTGTGTATAAGAAATATTTACCTTTAACAATAGGGAAGCAAAATCAGAAAAGTTATAATCGCGTGAGTTTGCAAGAAAGCCATGAGTCATGACGAAAACTGGTTTTGAATGATCGAAAAGATTGCAGGATTCATTTATTTTAACAAATTTGCCTTTAGGATTATCACTAAAAAATAAAAACGTAAGTAGTGCGAAAAATAAATTAATTGTATGTATTCATGTGAGCGCTTTTACCTTGTATACAAATTTATGGCAACCGATTTAACGCCTAAGATACAGGAACTTGAAGGACCAACTGTAAAATGTCCATTTTTGATATTACATATCTATGTCAAATTATTTTTATTGTCCAAAATTAAAATGAAGATAATTAGAATTTTAAAACTCCAAAAAATTATGAATCTTTTTGATTTTTAGAAAGTATTATATTTTAGAAAGCAGAAAATGTTACTAAAAGTTAAAAACTTGAGTCAATAAATTCGCAACGTTGGTCGTTTATTTAATATTTTTAATTGTTTTAAAATTTTAATTTTTAAACAATTTTTCGCAAAATTAGTTCCCAGCTTTCCAAATTTTATTTTTTTCACAATCTTACTTTAAACAAAACTCTTTCCGAAACCAACTAAAACCTCAAGATTTTTTGAAAAATAGAATTCTAAGTATTTTTCTTTAATCTTTAAAAAAACGGTATTAACTTTAGGGAAATATACTATTTTTTCAATAAAAACTCGGTTGATGATTTAAGAATATTCTTAGAGGATTGATTTTTAAAAGTATACTAACTAATATATTTCGAAGGTATCACTTCATGACTTGTCATCTGCAAGAAAAAGACCAGTAAAAATATGTACACAAAACTCTCAAACGTGTATTACTTAAAATAAGCATTAAATAATTAAAATAGCTTTAAGAAAGATGATGATAAAAGAATTAACATGTAGATGCAATACTGCGCATCTATAGAATCAAAACTATTATTTTCCCTTTGCGGTCTACATTATGTAAACGGTTTTGCAAATGAGCAATGATCAAGTGTGTGTATGTGTGTGAATGTGTTCTGCATTTTATGTAATAATTATGTCGACAATAGACTCACATAAATTAAAAAAATTTTTATTAAATTTATAAAAATTCCCAAATAGTTCGCAGATTATTATCATGTACGTAATATGAAGACTTAGAGAATTACATTTTGTAGAATATCATATTCATTTCAATATAGAACTGCATGGGCTTAAATCAAAGGTGTATCTTTGCGGAGTTTAATTCTTGATTTCTTGAAAGAGACGCGTGACGCGCATTTAGTCAACAATCGTTTTCGACGTGCGTTGAAAAGAGAATAGATCGAAAGAATGAAAAGTTTCTAATATTCATTTTAGAAGCGAGAAAATGAAAACTAACGCTTACCGCATTATCATCTCGTGCGCCGTTGGTCGTGGCCGCTATCGTACCAAAGAGACAGAGCAGTACGAGAAATGATGCGACCATGGTCAGCTGCATCATTAACTATAGAAAGTGAAAAACGGATTTTTTAAAACTATTATTTACAAATAGCAATCTTGATAAAAAATAAAATTAAGAATGCGTAATTTCGTTCACAGAACGTTGATAAATCGATCACTGACTGCTTTTTTATTAATCGCCAGGGGAATGAACGAGAAATAGAAAAGTTATGGCATTCTTTTCGTACAACTCGCATTTATATCAAGTTAGGAAGTCGTATGGAATTGATATGGCATAATAGTTGCAATTACGATAGGGAATAATCAACAATATATGAGTGTAAGTGCCACATATACGCATATATACTTGAGAAACACAATTTTTTTACAATATTTATGTAAATAGAGGTCTAAAAATACAAACATATCAACTGCATCTTCCATATTTTCAGTAATTATCGTAGAAAAAACTGCAAGTAATACACGTATAATGCATTTCAAGATAGTTGTGTCGAACGTTTAATGAGGCTATTACTGTTATTATTTATGTGTTTATCGGCTGGTATATTTCCAGAAGGATCGGTAGTCAAGGCTACGGACGACTTTGAATTCAACGGTTAATGTTCATCATTCAATTCTTTATTAATTTTCGTGCTCGAGGCGAGCATCACGTCGACACAATTTTGAACGGTGAACGCGAACCGCCGTCGAAACCACTCTCCCGTCGCGTAGACGCATAGGTGAGGTGAGGATCGAATGAGAATCTCGATTGTCAAGAAAAGGTGACAATCTTGTCTTCACGTACTGTTCACACTCGTTTTGAATTGTTCATTGAAATGTGTTCTGTTATCTCACTGAAATATATGCAGTACAAACTGCAGTAGCACGGATACGATACTTACGTCGTTTTATTACGCCGTTAGTCTTAAATTCGGAAGTTCTTCTGCAACGTTGAATTCGTACGTTTCGATACACGAGGGAAAGAACGCTAAGACAAAGACCTTCATGATTTATTGACAACTAATCACTAACTCAAAGTGAGGCGGTGGAACGACATGCGAATAACAGCTGTGATTTCGGCGAACGATGAGCCGACCACAGATTTCTATAGAATACCTATGTAGATCGTTAACATGTTAGTTTGTTATCAGTTGAGATGAAGCCGGGACGCCACATTTACCCGGTGATCACATATACAGTGCTTTATAAAGTATAAGTTTTAGCGTGCATTTAATGCTAAAATTTTGACGTTTTGGAATGTAACCCTTCACTGGGTAAGGATGGCTGTTACCCACTCTTCCGGCAATGAGTTACTCGGCTTCACTTGATTTCTCGGGGCTAGCGTTCTAGGATATTCTATAGAAATTTGTGGAGCTTACCGACAAAGAAAAAGAGGATCGTTCATATGATTTAGCGTGGTATAATATCTAATTTTTGGCACCGAACATTCTAGAAAGGAGCGAATGCGAGCGAAATTTTATGCGAATACTGTTATAATTACATAGAGGAAACAAACTACTTATCGCATCTGTCTGAAACTTTTTCGGTAGGCCTCTAGAAAGGATCAAACTTAAGAAAAATTATTTGACACTCCCGGTGCCGTTTCTATGTCAGACCGATTACTTATCAATCGCCACTCGTATGATATTAATTAGAATATGAATTATAATTATCAAGAACAAAACAATATATATGGAAAAACAAATGGAGTTAATACTAAAATTATTATATAATAAAATTTAAAAAAATAACGAAAAAGAAAAGTAAAGGATAATACGCAATGAAATCCAACAATAGTTTTGTTTGCATCTTTTATCAATTTTTATCAATTACTTTTAGTAAATTTTTATAATTGCTGTACTTTATTTCTTTTTCAATAACAGTGCAAAGAATTTAATTTAATTAAATTGCATAATTAACATGCTTTTATTTAATGCAATTAATTGTTTTAATAAACATCTGTGCTAAATAAAATCATGCTAAAAAAATTATGCAATTTAATTATTGTAATAATTCAATTACACTTATTTTAAGTTTGACAATTGCAAAACTCCATTTCAATTACAAATTAAAGTATCGAATTAGCCACATCTTATTTTAGACAGCTAAAATTATTCTTTGTACAGTATGGATATTCTGATGAAACGGATACACAGTAGTTTCCCTCTAGAGAATAGCTAGGATCAAATAGTCTGTTGTCCACAACAACGCAGTTGGTTTTGTCGGAAGAACAACCGGGCAGAATACTGCAAAAGTAGCCAGACATGATATATAATACATAGTTGCATTATAAACGCGCGATCAAAGAGGTTAAAATAAATAATTTTAAGCGAAAGTTCTTTAATTTATACATACCTGCGAAATACGGTTTACGCGGTTTCTATGCAATATTCTTGTGTATAATATTCTCTCTATAATATTCTCTCAATATATATATATATATATACATATATATACAGGGTGTCAATGGTACAGCGCTTGTGGGGAGGTAGTGTGGACCAAACTGAACAAAAAAGTCCTCTATCATTTTACGATCTTCGCAATAGTTATCGAGATACTAATCATTTTAAAAAAAGAAAAAATTTTACATAATGGCCAAGTTTTTGCTTCACTATGATTCTATTGATCGTCATGTTCAGCAGATAAAAATGTCGAAAATAATTATTCACACTCGTGATGAAAGAAAGAATTCAATTTTATCCGCTAACGTGAGAAAATATGTTATCATATACGACATTTCGTCAGAATTTCGAAAGAAATCGGAATTTGATAAACTTCAGACTTCAGTGAACAGATATAATGGTACCAATGAGAAAATAAACAAAAAAATTATAAACTGCAGATAATCGGAAGGCATTGGTTAAAAACATTATTCTTATTTACAGAGGGGAAAGTTACCAAAATCATACTGCTTAAAGTATTTTATGTTACATTTTTTATTTAGGAGGTATTTATTTAGTAGGTATCAAAATAGATTTTTACAAAAAAATTAGTATCCTTCAGATTTTAGCATTTATAATAACATAATAGGTATATAATAAATTTAAAAAATGTAACTTATATAATTGACATCTAACGACATGTAGAGCGATTACTCGATGTATGTATTCACATCGCAGTATTAATCGATTAGCTACTCTATTAAAAAAATTAGAAGAACTTCACAGATAGATCTTTCTCGAGAGGACCACTTCGGAGATTTCTGTGCTAACTCTTTATCTACGAGTCATGACCTATTTATGATATTACGAAATATTTTATACTTTCGATTCTTATCGATAATTACTTGTACACGCGCCGGTGTGTTATTATCTCCGGAATATTCCAGAAAAACTGTAATATTTTGTAATCAGCAGATAGTCACCAAAATCGTGAAAATCCAAAATATTCACAAACATAAAGTGCAGAATTTGCGAACAATTTAATGCATTATAATTAATTTTTTTACATAATTAATTTTTTATTATAAAATAATGCAAGTTGCTTTACAAAACAAAACAAGAGAAATTGTAGCATTAATGTAATGTTATTATTAGCTATTTTGACATATCGCACATTTCTTCTATTGAACGATTTCCGCAATTCCCGTATCGAACGATTAACGTCAAACAGGAAACACTTAACCGACAATTAGCTTGTTATTGCCGTTATTGCTGATATCATTAATTCTACTTAATGAAGTGATATATAAAAATCTGTCTTTTTTAAGAATAGAAAAAGAGGCAAAAATCTGCACTACAGTATTATATTGTATCATATTGTCATTCCTTTATAACAGTATAATACTGAAAGAGGATCAATAACCTTTTGGTGGAAAATTTGCCTGCAGTTCCCGACTCGATTATTATCTTTGTGTATTTTTGTGATTATAGTCTTTGTGTATATATTACATTATTTACATACAAATGAATATTTATTATAATTACTGTTATGTATATACAGAGTGAGACAGGACGATACCCAATAGGTAGTTATTCTATATACAAAAATTGAAAATGATGAAAATAAAATTTTTTTGTATTTTTCATCAATTAATAAATGTAATAGGTAAAATGTATATGTATATTTATAAACATTGCTCAAATGTATGTTATATACGTATTACTATTATTCGTAACACTGTTGACGTAGTTGCGTATAATAAAATTTGTTAGATCACGTGTTAGACAAGTGCACGCATATCCGATAAATTTTCAAATTTGATTATTTCCATATTATATCATCCTAGCTCACTCTGTATACAAATATATATATATATATAATGTATATATAATAAAATAATAATTTTTTATAAAATAATTTTTATAAAATAATTTTTTTATAAGAATAATTTAGATCTATGACATTTCTCTGTCTCATGAAAATAAAGACAAAATAAATTTCTTTTTGTAAGCTATTTATTTTTGTAGTGAACAGTATAATATAACAGTATAATATAAATAAGCATTCAAAATTTATTTCATACTCCAACAATTTCCCGTAAAAATCTGTATAGTTATTTATTTATACATAAGCTCAACGATCCAACTCACGAAACAAAGTTGATTTTATTATATTGCGGAGACTCGCATTATAGCATCTATACATTACGTGTACGTACACTTTTGTGATGAGATAGCGGAAGAAATAGTTCAGGAAAAGCAATGTACTATCTAATCTAAGAAAACATAAAGCATAAAAATAATAATAAAAATAAGAGAAAGACTTATATGTGAGTTTGAATAGGAATGTGGCAGAATAGGGCAGACTATGAAGTTCGTTTTTATTTTATTCTATCCTCGCTTCCACCTTTACATATATCCGCCCGCTCCAAAAGAATTCAGTAATACGAGATCTCGATATTAGTTAAATAAACAACTTAATTGATATTACGACATCACGATAATAATAGTTAGAAATAACATCGTGAATTGATAGCGTGTCGTTTTGTTTGTCGTTTCCGCCCATGTCTTGCGAGCAAATACGTTCTTTTAAGCACGTACATCGTACGTGCACGCACAACGTAGTAGATAATTTAGCATTTATTCTTGTAAATATTTACGAATACGACTTAGAATTATATCTCCATATAGAGGAAATAAAATGAATTTTCATCTCGGAGCAGAGCGAGAGAGAGAGAGAGAGAGAGAAAGAGAGAGAGAGAGAGAGGATTCACTTTCTACGCACAAAAACAAATTCCGATCCCCTACTTTTTCCGAATAGTGCACAAACAGCGACTATAAATACATCGTGTTAATTTATATACATAATTGTTCATACTGAAGAGAACGCGCGTCATTCTATTACTAGGAAAAACATGCGAATTGTCATAAATCATCCTACACGTTCCTCGCACGTCTTGTCGTAACCGCTCATTGTCCCAGACCTGTCTGGTACAGCGAGATAT